AAAACTCATATACACAAACACCATACATGGCACCATTTGCAGCTGAGAGAAATGTAAACAAACGTAAAGAAGCAGTATTAAATTATAAGTGTAGTACCTACTGTACTACTGTAAATTTTTATTTTATTTTATTTTTGAGACAGAGTCTCACTCTGTTGCCCAGGCTAGAGTGCAGTGGTGTGATCTTGGCTCACTGCAGCCTCTACCTTCCAGGTTCAAGTGATGCTCATACCTCAGCCTCCTGAGTAGCTGGGATTACAGGTGCACACCACCACTCCTGGCTAATTTTCATATTTTTAGTATAGACGGGGTTTTTACCATGTTGGCCAGGCTGGTCTCAAACTCCTGACCTCAGGTGATCCGCCCACCTTGGCCTCTGAAAGTGCTGGGATTACAGGTGTGAGCCACTGCACCTGGCCTTACTATAATATTTTCATAGCCACCTCCTGCTGCTATTGTGGTGAGCTCAAGTGTCAGTATCCTCTTAAAATGCCCCGTGACGCTAATCATCTCCACATGAGCAGTTCCTCTCTCCAATAAACTGTGTATTGCAGTAAAAAGTGGTATCTCAGCTGGGTGCAGTGGCTAACGCCTGAAATCCTAGCACTTTGGGAGGCCGAGACAGGCAGATCACTTGAGGTAAGAAGTTCGAGACCAGCCTGGCAAACATGGTAAAACCCTGTCTCTCTAAAAACATAAAAATTAGCTGGCTGTGGTGGTGTATGCTTGTAATCACAGCTACACAGGAGGCTGAGACAGGAGAATCACTTGAACCTGGGAGGAAGAGGTTGCAGTGAGCCGAGACAGTGCCATTGCATTTCAGCCTGGGCAACAAGAGCAAAACTCCATCTCAAAAAAAAAAAAGTTGAGATAACAGGACACTGTAGACAAAAGTACCCTATTCTGAAAAAAATTTCTGCAAAGGACATTTATTAGTAAGGAAGGAAAGTTACCACCAGGATTTAAGGCAGCAAGAGTAACCCTGTTTTGTGCAAATGCAATTGGGTTTATGATGAGGAGTGTCCTTATCTATAAACCTTTAAGCCCTGAGTCTTGAAGGGAAAAGATAAAACACCTAGTTTTTATCTTGCTAGTCTTCTGGTTATATGACAAGAAGGTATGGACAACAAAAGTCCTTTTACTGTATTGGTTCCATCAATTGTTTGTCTCTGAAGTCACAAAGTACCTTGCCAGTAAGGAACTGCCTTTTGAAGTTCTTTGGATACTATAAAATGCCCTTGGCCACCTAGGACCCCACAAATTCAGCACCCACCATAGGTGCCCCAAAGATGTCTCTAATTCAGCCTCTAAATCAGAGGGTCATAAGAACCTTTAAGGCTCATTACATATGGTACTCTATGTGACAGATTGTCATTGCTACAGAAGAAAACCCAATTGAAGAGAATATCATAAAAATCTGGAAGGATTACAACACTGAATGTTGTAATGCCATCATTACAGTGATGCCATCATTACATCATTACCGGTGCAGTGGCTCACACCTGTAATCCCAGCACTTTGGGAGGTCAAGGTGGAAGGACTGCTGGCATCCAGGAGTTCAAGACCAGCCTGGGAAACATAGTGAGATCTTATCTCTACAAAAAATAAAAAAATTAGCCGGGTGTGGTGGTCCCAGATACTCAGGAGACAGGTGGGAGAACGGCTTGAGCCCAGGAGGTCAAGGCTACAGTGAGCAGTGATCACGCCAATGTGCTCCAGCCTGTGTGACAGAGTGAGACCACATCTCCAAAAAAAACTCAAAAAGAAATGGGCGTGAAAGGCTGGGGGTGGTATCTAATGCCTATAATCTCAGCACTTTGGTAGGCTGAAGTGGGAGAATGGCTTGTGTCCAGGAGTTTGAGACCAGCCTGGGCAACATAGTGGGACCCTGTTTCTATTTTTTAAAAAAATGCTATAACAGGATGTTTTAGACTGGATTAAAAAAAAAAAAAAAAGAATTGGAAAAAGCCACAAAAGTCATCAAGTCCAAAACAAAAAATTTCTGCAGGAGAAAATTGCATCCAGATGTTGTACATGACTTCACAGGATTTATGACAGAGCCAAATCAAGGAAGTTACAAAGGAGGTTGTAGATATGGATCTTGGAGAAATTTCAGAGTTAACAGACACAACATCAGCGGAATAAACAGAAAAAGACATGACGAAGACGCGTTCTTCCCAACCAGTGCCAGACAATAAGAAAGAAGACATAGAAGAAGCAGAGTCTGGAAACAAATTGACATTAGACAATCTGGATGAAGGGTTTCAAT